GCAACACAGATTTCTCATGTCACAAAATATTGTTCATTGATTGTAGGTGCTTTTACGATTTTTGGGCTGCGCTCTTCTCTCTGAGTCTTGGGATAACAATGATATTCTGAGTGAAATTTCTGAATTCCGTGATGATATTGTCAACTCAGCTAAGGGTGTGATTGATATGATACATTCAGATGTCTATCCAGAGATTAATGGTTATAATAAGCAACGTCTCTCTTACATTTATGACATCCTTTCAGCATGCCACTCATATCTGAAAAGGTCAAGTGAGATAGAGTTGACATACCCTGAACATGTCCATACACATAAGTTCGAACCATTTCAGTATTATAAGGTCCTAGCTGAAGAGTGCAAGAAAGTATCTTTCATTGATGGCTTGAATTACAAAAACATAGCTGGATTGGATAATCTGAACTTTGAGCATTTCAATGAAGAGGTATGCAAGAATATCCATGCTTCAACTGTCAGAGCTCTGGCTGATATGGTACAAGCTCTCGTGAGTATGTATGTCGATGTACTGGCCAAGGGACTCATATCACGGCAAGGTGTTTACAAGCATTATGTTCTTGGTTTGCTGGCATCTTTAGAAGGCCGCACTGAAGCAAGATCAGACAACATAGACTCTGAAAAGCTGCAGGCGGTCCTTTCTGAAATAGAGTTGAACTATGATAGTTGCAAGGAATACATCCAAGTTCTTCCAGCTACAGATATTTCATGCATCATTATAAGGTATTGCATGCTATGTTTTCCTTGCGACTTAACAAGAAACCATCCACAGGAGCCTTCATGGAAGAAACCTCTGGATGTGTTGGTAATGCTTTGGATTAAACTTATTGATGACATACCGGTGGAGTCAATGGATGCTTGTCCATATGGAAGGGCAGAATACTTGGATTCAAATAGGTTATCTCACTGCATGAGGGTTTTCAGACAGCTATTGGTAGATGATAAGATAACAGTGTGTCAAGGTTGGGATGCCATCTCCATGTATGTAAAAATTGGCCTTGGTGATGAAATCCCGATGGAGATTTCATATTTTTGTCGATCTATGATTCTTTCCGGCTGTGCTTTTGAATCTGTAGCTCAAGTATACCATGGAGGACAGGAACAATTGGAAAATGAGAGTGTAGACCCAAGCAATCCTTTGGATCTCTTAGAGCTTTACAGTGCTACTCTAGATGATTGTTTGTCAGATTTGATCAAGAGTCCTAGTGAGTCTCAGATATTGTTGCATAAATTGCTGTCGTCACTGAGCCGATCAACAGAGAAACACGCTGGCACTCTTGAGATGATTAGATCTGGTGTTTGGGGGAAGTTAATCAGCTTTTCTGAAAACATGCAGCTAGACAGCCAATTGAGGGTCTATGCTCTGCAACTGATGCAGTGCATCACAGGAAGAAACCTCAAAAGCCTTCCAAATGAGCTGGTTTCCCAGGTTGAGCCATGGGAATTGTGGTATGAGCCTGGGACAGGTTCTTCCGTAGCAGATGATAATAATAGTCCCTCCAGCAGCATTACAGGCACCCTAGTGGCCCTCAGATCTACTCAGATGATCACTACAGTTCTTCCTAATGCTAATATCACACCCAACAACCTGGGGACTCTTGATTCTGCAGTATCTTGCTTCTTGCACTTGTCAGAAAGTGCTTCTTCTGTTGAGACTATTGCTGTTATGGAAGCAGTTTTAGAAGAGTGGGAGCAATTGTTCTCTTCCAAAGAAGAATATGTTCCGCCCCAAGAATCACCAAAAGAAACCAATGATTGGAGTGATGATTGGGATGATGGCTGGGAGGCCCTACCAGAAGAGTTAGAGAGTCCAACGAAAAAGCACGGTAGAACCTCATTATCTGTTGATCCCCTCCACACTTGTTGGATGGAGATTATCAGAAAACTAGTTGAGCTTGGTGAACCACATAAGGTAATTGAACTTCTGGACCGAGCATCATCCAGAAATAGCATGTTAATCGAGGATGATGAAGCAAACCGGTTACTTGAACTCATATCTGCAATGGAACCGTTGATGGCTCTCAAAATCATGCTGCTTCTCCCTTATGAAACTACAAGGTTGCGGTGCCTGCAGATGGTTGAAGCAAAAATGAGGGAAGGAACAGTGTCCACCTCATCAAATGCTGACGATCATGAGCTGCTGGCCTTGGTTTTGTCATCTGGAGTCCTGCAGAGAATCGTGACCGAAGTGGAATACTCAAAATTGTTCTCTCACATATGCCATCTTGTCGGACATCTTGCTAGGTCATCGCAGAACGATCTCCTTGTAAAGTGGAATGATGAAGCGAATGCACCAGGGACATCCAAGACAAATAAATCTCTACTGTTTGCTAGGGTCTTGTTTCCTAGTTTCATATCTGAACTGGTGCTCAGGGGCCAATATCTACTGGCTGGCTTTGTCATCTCCAGATGGATGCATACCCACCCATCCCTTGGCCTGATGGATGTCGCGGAGGCCAGCGTGCGACGATACCTGAATGGTCAGATTGTTCAAGCTCAGCAATTGGGAGGAACCGATGTTTTTCTTACTGACAATGAACTGTCTGTAAGCCATGCTCTCTCCACTCTACGATCAAACTTGGTTTCTCTTGTGCAAGCTGCATTGGCAACCCTTCCGAACCAAGATTTGTAGATGTGCATCGAGGTTTTGTGAATATTTTAACTCAACACAGGCAGGTGGTGTACTATCAGTGTAACTGTAACATAAGCTGTTAGCTAGGTCAATATTGCAAAGTTTAAACTTTTTAGGGGGGGAAATTATTGCAGAATTTCAACTAGCATTGTCAGAATGTTTCCGGAAAAGAAATACCATGTTCTTTTACTTGATCAGTTTTTACAGGACAAGCCTTGTTGCACAGGTAGGATGTAGACCCTGTTTATATTCATTTGTACATTTCTATTCATCGTAATTCGTAAGCACATTGTCTGAAATTGGGATCTGCCAGCTTGAAAACGCTGGCGATCAGGCAGACACGTTGAGGGCTGAAGTAATGGCTTTCGTGGGAGCCGCTTCAAAATACTGCTGTATTTATTCGCTAGTCAAACGAAATCTCAGTTTAAATTATCGAGTGGATTATCGCTTTGATTATAGATATAGATTTAAATTTTAAGAAATAAATTTTACAAATAGCTCAGAACAAGTGGTATAAACAATATAGTAGGTCCTTTTTTAATACATAGAATAAATACTTCACTTAAATAATACAGTGAATAAACCGAAAAGAACGGGGCCGAAGTATTTTCATTGTCCGACTCTTATGATGGCAATAGCCATTGCAACTCCGACACCCGGTGGCCAATATTCGAGGAAATGAATTGATCCCGGTAAAATTCTTGCATTCCAAATGAGCTGTTCATAGGGCGCAGTGGAGGAGACAAAGGTCTTCTGACTACAAATTTTGGTGGATTTGATCTTTTTACTTAGGTCTTCCCTGCACCTTTTCTTCTGTTTAAAGGGAAAAGATACATCTTAGAGATTTTCTTTTACAAACGTATAGTAAAAGATACATGAAGAAAGAGAGGTAGTACATGACACACTGACTGAATCTTGAGAACTGGATTTGTAAGTACGTATAGTACCGTTCTTGTTTAGTATACAGTGTATTTCAGAAACCGACATTGTGATTTGAGATCTACAATTTGGCTTTTTTGGAAAATCTCACATAAGATAATAATAGACAATCAGACAAACTTTTAATAGAAAACTCAACTTCTTTTCGTTTATGAGATACTTCCTCTGTTATAGAATAAAACCACTTTTAACTATGAATATAGATTTATCTACAAGTGTATGTTCAGATTCGTAGTTAAAAGTTTCTATATTTCCAGACAAGAGTAGTATTCCTTTGCTCTCTTCCCTTTGTCTATTTACCAATTATATTTCTTGCAAACAAAGTTTGAGTTTCTTGTTAAGTTTTTGTATGATTATCTGTACATAAGAGAGTTTGGTGGCGTGTTGGTGTGGGGAATAGAACATGCTCTATTTGATCATAGATTGCTTAGTTTAAGATAGATGGTAGTATTCATTTTTTTATGAAAAAGGATTACTGAACTTTGAGTTGTCTCCGTAGTATTTGCCCCCTTATTTCACGACCCTCTGATCTGTTGGCGTTTTTCTTGTTTAGGGTCATGCACAAAATGATTTACTCAAATGTACACAAAATGAGGGTTAGGAACCCTCACTCCTCAGCACACAAAATAAAGCAGCATTTAGCACATAATTAAGTTTTAGTTATTTTTTTAAAAAATAGATTAATATGATTTTTTAAAACAACTTTTGTATAGAAACTTTTTTTAAAAAAAACACACCGTTTAACAATTTGAAAAACCTGCACGCGGAAAACAAGGGGGAGTTGGGAAGGGCTGGGAACGAACGTGTTGTGACATACCCAAATTTTGCGTGTAATTCTCAGAAGTGATTAACAATCTTTACGACGGTGCCTCTTTTTTTTGCCCCCTCTAATTTCCTCTCGAGAGATCGATATATGCCTAAACTTGTAATTGTGGAAACCCTAATTCGTACCTGCAACAAATCTGGGATTTTAGAGTGATGCACCCATATTGAAAAGAGCCGCATGAAAAATGCTCGCGATGCACGTGAACCTGATCGGCTGCTCCTTCCTTCCGTCCTTTGCGTGACAGGTGATGTTCTATGTCACTTGCTCACTGCACGTATAGACGGCTCAGATGCCGGGAAGCACCCTGTTCACAAACTTTTTTTTTTTTTTTTTGCCTTGCACCTGACTCTTCAAGAATTTAGGGCTTGTTCACTTTGCTATCATTTTCAACCTTACCAAGTTTTAGAATTGCCAAATTTTAGTAAGGTAGACAAAATTTTGGCAAGGTTGCCAAATTTCGGCAAGATTTCATGTGCTTACTAAAATTTGGCAACAAACTAAATATAACCACTTTTTTGGTAACTTTAAAAAAAAAAAAAGGGTAAGGTTGAAAATGGTAGCAAGGTGAACAAGCCCTTCGAAGAAGAGCAAAGCAACTTAAAAAGTAGAGTAAATATTCACAAAAGTCCAGTCCATTGGAAACAGGGCAGCATATAGTCTTCAAACTTTGATAGGCAGTTCAACAATTCTACAGACTAGGAGTACAATTGCATTGCACCCCACTTAGGTAGGTGTAGTTAATACTAACAATTCTCTCCTCATGAAGTAGATGTCACCTAAATTATTTTTAACCCTTGGATGATAAATCTAAGGTGCAAATTGTTTCTTCTCTTATGAAACTATACCCACCTCAGATATTTATAACCTTAGGGTGATCGATCTAAGATGTAAATAGTACAAATCAGAAGTCACACTGTCTAGCTACAAAACAAAGCATGTCATTTTGTCATGTAACTTCAAGCAGCAATGCATGGAGTTTTTCATCCAGTAGTATTAGATTAACGCCCAGGTCCAGTATAAGCATACGGGAAAAGAACAGTTAACGCTCCCTCAACTACCAAATGAACCAAACCATGTAGTAGTTCAAACATGCTCAAAGCCTGAAATGCAACAGAGTAGTTCACGCAGGTAATAAGCATGCATGCAGGCACAAGCAGCAGCAGCAGCACACCCCCATCCATCTCCAACCCCCACAATCTTAACAAGAATAAAGCATGGCAGCCTGATGGCAGCAAGGAGCTAGTAATACAATACAAGATCTGAGCTCGTACCTCTTGCTACCACTTACCCCCCATGGCTTCCTTCCTTGCTGCTAGCCTGCTCATTGCCCTCGTAGTGTCAGGCTCCAACGTCGCTGCTACGCCTTCCCCATCGGCGGTGGTGGGCAATGGCGACATCGCCTCCACTGCACAGGAGATGCAGCGAGCCCGCTACTTCACCTTCGTCATGCTCATCAGGATGGTGCAGGAGAAGATCCCACACAACACCACCTTCCTGATGCCCAACGACAGGATGCTGTCAACTGCAACCATCCCGGAGAGCCAAGTGATGGAGTTCCTGTCAAGGCATTCCATCCCGGCTCCGCTCATGTTCGACGACCTCATCAAGCTTCCCAACGCAACAATAGTTCCCACAGCCCATTCGAGCCAGACAATCACAATAACCAATGTGAAGCACCAGAAGATCTACTTCAACAATATTGAGCTCATCAGTCCTGACGTCTGCCGCGTAGGAGATTTGTTCAGGTGCCATGGAATCAATGGAGTTATAAGGCCAATAGTACCAAGAGGAAAAGGGTCAGCTTGCCCTGGCCACCTTGCTCCAGCAACTGCAGCACCTGGACCAGCTTCAGGGGCAAACCGGTCCTTGGAGACGTCTTCGCTAACCTCTCCCAACATGAGTTCTGCCACAAGTCCATCCCTGCAACCTGCAGCAGAAAGCCCTCAAAGTTCAGACACTTCCACGTCACAAATTGCATCTTCTTATACTACACTAATCTTAGTGTTAGTCTTTTCCATTTTCTAAGTTTGGATCCATGGACATACAGTTCAATGGATGCATCTCTATTCAGGGAAAGCTAATGCAAGCTAGTAGTTTTTTGTCTGAACATGCCTTCACATCTTTTTCTGATCTATACCTATTTGGTATTTAGAGGAAAAGCTTCAAATATTTGTTAATTCATTTGATCACTGTTCTTTATTAGAAAAGCGATTATATTTTCCTTTTTTGTACGATGGGAAAAATTAGCAAGATGGAAATCAAGCCTTAAGAGTTTTAAGTTATTTCTGTTCATATGATTATTATCATGCATAACACAGTAAGATCAATTATAACAACACGATTAGTTAGACTATTGAGTAGGTTTCCAAAAGCAGGTCTGACCAACCTGGAGCAGCATCAACCCAAATTTGCCAGCCTTCAGCAGCTTCCCATGCATTTGCTGAAGATCAATGTGTTGGCCAGCCCAAATTAAACTGGAATGATTGAATGAATAGCTCCATGTTAGACAAAAGTTTTATGATAATATAATAGAAACAGAAAGTATTAACAACCTGTGGAACATCCATACCTATGGTGTATGGCTCTATGCACAGCTCTTGTATGAGAAATTTAACCCCAGAACTGTCTTCCTGTACACAATTAAACACGGCCATTAATCATGCTAAAAGCTAAACAAACATCTGATCAGAAACAATATAAAAGCTGAAACAAATACTACCACAGACAATAAATTTATGTGCTTAGTTACAATGCTTCTGAGCACTGCTTCCCTATTTACCGTAGCCTAAGCAAAGCTCAGTCTCGATGGAAGAAACAATAGGGAAAAGAGTCAGTAAAACAAAACTACAAAATTTATTCAAAGGTTGGAAAAGTTCTGAGTTCTTCCACGAACACAAGATTCTCTATTTGTAAATTATAGCAAGTAAAGTAAATGCACAGGAACAATACCGATGCAAGCAAACAGTTTATAAGACAATTAGACATCAGCACAAGCAAAACCAACTGTTCAACCTGACTGCATCTTATATAAAATACTGGTTCATCTTCAGGTGTACATAACAATAGTAGTCAACAATACAGATTTGTAAACATGAGTTTATAAACTATTTCTAACAGATACAGTGAACTGGGTCACAACCTACATTGCCAGTCATATCTTGACTTCTAAAAGATAAGCCAAGACAGATCTGAAACAGGAACCAGCCACACAAAGTTGGCATTAACATTATCACAACCTGGTAACAATTAACTGCAATAAGTATGAAGTTAATACACATACTACAGTTGCGCCTGCCAATAATCTAGTTAGGGTTATGCTCAGGAGCATTGCACGATAGCTCAATTAGTTTCCTTTTTTCTGGCTGTCATCACCAGAATGTTGCAGCTTATTGTCAACTCCTGCCTCATCAGTTTTGTGTTGTTTGTCCTCAAGTTTTTCCTACAGAACAAAAAACAAAAACAGTGTTAAAGTATATATTTCAGAATAGCAAGAGAGCGAAGAATGAGAAACCAAACCTTTAATGAGCTATTCTTTGATAGAAGCTCATCATACTCCTTTCTGATCCGGTTCACTTCATCTCTAAGTGAAGTATTTTCTTGCTTTAAAACTTCAGCACGTTGAGCCAACTCCTCACATTCAGCCTGCAGAATTTAAGTTAGGCTTCATCAATTGAAGGCACTACAAAAGATAATTCTATCCAGTATAGCTTGAAATGCACAAACAAATACCTGCTTACGCAACCTAGATCTGCGAGCAGACTCCCTGTTGGATTGTTTTCTTCTCTGCCTTTTGAGTTCCCGTTCATCCTGAATCATGGGAGAGTCAACACGACTAATTTCTCCATTTGCCAGAAAAACTGAAAACTTCATGTTTGTATCCATAGGATTGTTGATGATTAAGTGCCATTTCTATGGTTTTTGTATTTCATATAAGGACTCAACATCTTATTTTGAATGATGGCATGCCAAAATGAAAGGATTGAGATAGAAAATACATAATTTTAGAGGTGAAGAGCACCCAAATAAGAATAAAAAGTTGTAATATATCAATTTAACTTGAAATGCGCCTATGAAATTCATACTCCATACTAACACCACGATTTTTCTGATGAATGTCTGTACCTAAGAAGAAATGCCATTGACAAACACCCAAATCCAAGAAATGCTATCAATGAGTGCAAGTTCCATAAAATGTCATCGTACAAGCGATTTTGTCCCATAAATGCCATCGCCATTAGGGTTCCGTCCATCCCACACCGATAAATGCACTGTTCATCCTATAGTACTTAATGGAGGGTTGCTAACGGAACCCTAAGTGGAGAAAAGCATTTATGAAGCACAGCAGCGAATACTACAACGGGAAGAAAATATTACAAGTGCACGGTTCTTGAAGGGAAGGGCTAATAGAACAAACCTGCACCCACTGCTCTCCTGGAACCATAGACCCTGGAGCTGCAGTTGGGGTTGCTTTACCATGTATTGCTGGAGTGGAGCTAGCTGTGTTGGCCCAGTAGTCCATTCCTATGTTCAAGTTTGTAGTTGGAGCAGGTACTGGACCACTTGATGTCATTGGCATGATTGCCATAGTTTGATTCAACTTTGCCTGGGATGGTGAACGTGATACACCATTCTGGGAACTTCGAACCTCTGACAGGATGCAAAGAAAAATTAAGAGGTTTCAATCCGAGCAATAAGGAACACTAGCAACCATAGAGATGTTCATAGGCACACCTCCATCTTGCTCTTGTCCACTTTCCTTGTGATGTGAATCCTACAAAGACATAATGATGCAAAGTTATTACTACTTATACCAGTTCAATAGCAACTTTATGGTATATTAATTGTCTAAAAATTGTAAAACATGTGGCCATGTGCATTTGAACCCCAAGAACAAAACTGCCTGAGCAGAACTTACATTCTGAGAATTTGCTTCACTTCCTTCACTAGAACTTTCACTTCCACTTTCCCCACTGCAATAGAAGCAGAAATTCTTTTACCGACACAAGAAGTTTCTAAAACAAGATTGTTGTTGTTGGCTAAGGTGACAATGCACAAACCTTTGAGAAATGGCTCCATTAGCTGATGCCCCAGAGGTTTTACCATGTTCAGTAGAGTTCTTCCCTGTAATCATATTCAAGCTACCTAAACTTCCTTTAGATCTTTTAATGGGACTTTTTTCTTTTCCTTCAGAGGATTTGCCATCCGTCTCACCAGCAGCAGCAGCAGCAGCAGTAGTTGTAGTTCCCTGGAATGGTAAGGAACATTAGATTCCACAAGAAAAAGGAAATTTTCGAACCAAATATGGCATGTCTTACAGTAGGATCAGCATTGCCATTTGGAGAGGCCATGGCATATGGAGTAAATGGGTGTGCGCCCTGCAGGATTGTTCAATGACAAAACGAAAGTCAAATCTCAGCAATGATATTTAGTACTACATCCATCCCAAAATATAAGGGATTCTGCCTTATAAACATGGGCAAAATCCTTTATATTTTGGGACGGAGGTAGCAATATTATTTTGAGACTACCAATTGTGCTTTTTACAGACAAGAATATAATAAATTACAGCAATCTGTGGAACATACCGGAGGCATAGATGGGTGAGCATATACTCCTGGAGGATACATGACATATGGTGGTGGTGGGGTTCCATATGGTGGTATCATAGGCTGTAAAAGAGTGAAAGGAAAAATGAGAACAAAACAAATCTATATTATTACATCAAATGAATCTATGTAAAATAAAGAAGCATCATCCAGATGAATAGTTCAACATTGTAGAGAAAGCTAACTAAAGAGTGTTCAATGGCCTGCTGTGCATATCTATATCCTGGCAAGCCAACATCCAACTGGCAGTTCTTTAAACATACTATAGTTACCAACCATGTATCATTCACATCAAAATTGTCATATCACCGGTAGCCGAGCATGCATGCTACCATTTCTATATTTGATGCACAAAGTTACTAGGTCTACTTATTTGCCAGTGAAAGTTGCCATTTTCTTATTTGCCATTTATTCTCAATCTTGTTTGCTTATCTAGCATTCCTGTGAACGTCCCGTTAATTTTGTTAAAAGATAATCCAAACACACTGTAGCCTTGGCACAAGTTTGGATTGATTGAAGCTCTTCAGTTCAGTCTGTGGGGCCCACTGCAAAAAATTGAGAATGGCCAAAGAAGCCCAAGCAGCCGAGCTCTTCAGTTCAGTGCATGCCCATGGTTAGGTCATGGGACTGGGGGCACTGGAGTATGGAGACGAGGTCAGAAAGGACAAGGTTGCCCCCACCATGGAGAGCTAGAGAGGAAGTTGCAGCGGTGGTGGGACTGATACTCCATGGGATCAATGCACTTTTTGCCATTTAGGAGAAAAGAAGGCCATGCTACATGGCTTTCTGAGATTAAGCAACAGGAGTGGGCGAGTAGCATAACAGGGCATGGAAAATTAAACCAGTGGCATATGAGGGCATAGTTCAAGTAATGCATATGAAAGCAAGCTGGTATTTCCGGTGGCATATAAAGAATTCTCTATTCTAGACAACTTGTTCAAACAAATCAAATCACATAGTTAGAAGTTTGATCTACATGATTCTCCCCCATCAGAGTTTTGAATACCTTCAGACATTCTGAGAGATCATTTCCAACATGAAAAAGGAAAAAATAACAGTGGGGAGTACAGGAGTAGTCCCCACTGTTATTTAAACAAAAGGAAACCTAACCTGAGCTCCCCACATGTAAGGATGACCCTGTGGGCTTGACGCCACAGGTGATGGAAAGAAGCCATGTGGTGGAATTGGAGGATATCCCTGCTAAAAAAAGGAGAGTGAGTACATAACATACTATCTTTCTAAATCTGTCGCATGCTATGAGAACTGCAATCTGAGATAATGTCATTTTTTATCCATTAAGCATTAGAGACTGTAATTGCTAGTTTGCTACTCCCTCTGTCCCAAAATATAGCAACCAGATGGAGTATTAAATATTAAGGCACTACATATTTATTTCCCCAATTTGTTGCACCCCAAGGTGGCATCAGTGCCAAGTTACCAATCACCTAAACAGAGAAAAATGCCTGCTCACCTGAAAGTTGGCCCAATCTGGGTAAACAGCCGGTGTTGCAGTGCTTGAACTAGCAGGTGGCTGTTGCTCCTATTATTAAAACAAAGAAATGAAAAAAGAAACAGCTTTTTAGGAATGAAGTGTTCATATATATCTTTTGGTACAGAGATTATGTTGTCAGGCATGTATTCCAAAACCTGAGGTGCAGATGCCTTGCTTGTCTTAGTCGGTGCGTCTGCGCCACTGCTACCCATGGTGTGAGCTCAGATACACAGAGCAGTGATTACTCCATTATCCACACACGCATAAAGTAGCATTAAGCAAAATCTGAATTGGCAATACAAAGAGCGCGAGTAAGCTAAATTACTTCTTCAAATCTATTGGTAGGACCATTTTCCCAAGAAAACATCTATCGCAGGACCTCAAATTCTTCCAACAACCATGGTGGACTAAAATACCTTCCAAGATATCTACTATTGCACAGTAACCTCAAGTATCTCAAATTATGTACTAAAAGTACAAATCCTTCTACTAGCCACACAATCACATGATAACATGGAATACCAGCCTTCTAGTATAAAGCATTGGTCACATGGTTAGAGATGTTCCTATAAGTAGTAACACAATCTAAGCAACTGTTAGTGGTTGACCTACTGTATCAATAGCCCAATCAAAACATTGTTTAGCAAAATCCTTTCTCCTTTGAAACTCTCCTGAACATGTAAACCCAGTTACCTTAATGGTACTATGGTACAATATAATGTACCAAAATCCGGAGATCAAAAACTTTAAGTTTAAATTAATTCCACATTACAGCTACCACTGATGGAACGTAAATAATAGAGAAAACAGAAATCCCTGGAAACCAAAAATTTGCTAACAGTGAGATGGGATGGGTACTGCAGCTCAGATGAACCCCAAAATGTAACACTTAAATACATCAGGATAGCTCCAGAACCAAAAGCCCAAAAGAGCAGCATAAAAATATTTGAGAAGACATGGGGGTATAAAATCTTAACCGAAATCCAATCGTAGTAAAACATTAGATTCTTAATAAAAATACATCCCTCGTATAGGAACTGAATCTAGGTAAATTACAAATCATATGTACTACGGTCACAAGTAGCGTTTATGGAGAAAGGCAGCATTAATCTGCAGGAACCCAGATCATAACTTAACTAAAACCATCATCAATACTCATTAGTAAACCCTCCAAAAGGAATAGACTATTCAAATTTCAAATCACAGCTACTACGTCATTCCAACCAAGCTCTTGTAAGCATTTTTTCAACGTTAGAGTCATCATTAATCAACAGAAACACAACATAACCTAACTAAAACCACCATCAATATTCATACCAGCAAACCGTTGCTCCCTCGATTCGGGATCTAACAAACCAAATTTCAAAACCTAAAAAAGAGCTTCTCCTCACCGCGCGAGGCCCGAGGTAGCCGTCACTCCTCAAGACATTCTACCCAGGTTTTCCCCTCTCCACTACGCACCCCCCAACCCCAAAATCAAAATCGAAAAAAAAAACAAAAACAAATCGGCACACCAAACAACCTCGCACAAATCACACACCTAAACCCTAACCACCACCAACTCCTCCACACAACCAAAATCTAGACCTACCACACCCCCCACCGGAATTCCGCCGCACCGGCACAAGCAGCAGCTCCCCCGCGGCGGCGGCGGAGGCGGCAGAATTCAAAAAAAAAAAAAGCGAAAACCAGCGGCCAGATCCGGCGAGGGGGATTCGGGGCGGATACCTTGTGTCGGGGCCCGCGATCCCGCGGGCGGCGGAGCGGGGCCTCGGGATCTGGGGTGGTGGGGGCGGGGGAGCGCGAACGCGCGCGCGGGCGGGCGGGGGATGATGAGATCACCACCTGTGCTGGCTGGTAGCGCACGCCTAGGCTAGGGGCAGCGAGGCGAGGCGAGGAAGACGACGAGGCGAGGCCGCGAGGGCGGGGTTGGGTTGGGTTGGGTTGCGTTGCGGCTGGGTCTCGCGGGGACGCGGAGTGGAGTGGTAGGCTAGGCTAGCGTGGCTTAGGTTAGGGCGTGAGGCTAGGTGGGCGGATGGGTCGGGGTTTGGTTGGTGGGCGCGCTTCCTTCCTTTGCCTCGGTTTTGGTCCGCGTCGCTGTCCATTCACCCATCCACTTGGGTTCGCTTTTGGCGGAGTGGGCGCGTGGGGGTGTGGGTGTGGGTATTTATTTTTATACAGAGCTAATACACTCCTCTCTTAAAATAACTATTCTACACCCCCTCCCACCTCCCATCCGTCCCCACCTCCTCCCCTCCCATGGCTCCTCTCTCCCTGCGCCCCCTCTCCCTTCCGCGCCCCCTTCCGTCGCCCCCTCTCCCATTGCTCCTCTCCGTCGCCCCCTGTCCCATCGCTCCTCTCTCCCTCCCGCGCACCTCCCTCCGATTACCCCTCTTTTTTTTTCTCTCCCTCATTCTTCTCTCTTTTAGAAAAATTAAAAATAAATTGGTGAATTCAAGACTTGAACCTATAATGTCATGGTTCCGATTCCCCCTCTCCTTTTTTTTTCTCTCCCTCCTTCTTCTCTCTTTTAGAGAAATTAAAAATAAATTGGTGAATTCAAGACCCTTCTTCTCTCTTTTAAATTTTTTTTCTCTCCCTCCTTCTTCTCTCTTTTAGAAAAATTAAAAATAAATTGGTGAATTCAAAACTTGAACCCATGATCTTATGGTTCCGATTCCCCCTCTCCTTTTTTTTTATCTCCCTCCTTCTCTTTTAGAAATTTTTTTTCTCTCCCTCCTTCTCTCTTCTAGAAATTTTTTTTCTCTCCCTCCTTCTTCTCTCTTTTAGAAAAATTAAAAATAAATTGGTGAGTTCAAGACCCTTCTCTCTTTTAGAAATTTTTTTTTCTCTCCCTCCTTCTTCTCTCTTTTAGAATTTTTTTTCTCTCCCTCCTTCTTCTCTCTTTTAGAAAAATTAAAAATAAATTGGTGAATTCAAGACCCTTCTCTCTTTTAGAAATTTTTTTTTCTCTCCCTCCTTCTTCTCTCTTTTAGAAATTTTTTTTTCTCTCCCTCCTTCTTCTCTCTTTTAGAAAAATTAAAAATAAATTGGTGAATTCAAGACCTTTCTCTCTTTTAGAAATTTTTTTTCTGTCCCTCCTCTCTTTTAGAAAATTTTTTTTTCTCTCCATCCTTCTTCTCTCTTTTAGAAAAATTAAAAATAAATTGGTGAATTCAAGATTTGAACCCATGATCTCATGGTTCCGATTCCCCCTCTCCTTTTTTTCTCTCTCCCTCCTCTCTTTTAGAAAGTTTTTTTTCTCTCCCTCCTTCTTCTCTCTTTTAGAAAAATTAAAAATAAATTGGTGAATTCAAGACCCTTCTCTCTTTTAGAAATTTTTTTTCTGTCACTCCTTTAGAAAATTTTCTTTTCTCTCCCTTCTTCTCTCTTTTAAAAAAATTAAAAATAAATTGGTGAATTCAAGACTTGAACACATGATCTTATGGTTCATGGCAAGTACTTCTGACCAAATCACCATATGATGATTTGTGAACAAATCAGTTATGTACCTATAACAATCATACTTTATTACTATGATTCGACAGTAACATTATCCCAGAAGGGTAGTAACATCATATGTTACTGAAAAATATATAGGTAGTTACTGTAAACTTTATAGGTTGTTACTGCACTTTTGGTAGTAACAATATGACGAAATTTGCAGTAACAGAGAACATGCATAGTAACAGTGGCCCTATAGTAGTAATGTTTTTTTATCTAGAGTATTTTAAATTTCAATCTTTAGAGAGTACTAACGTACACGTCATGTCTTATATTTCTAACCCATTTGCATCATGGCATTCGTAAAAAAAAAGTGCTTAACGAAACTAGAACCATCATAACTATTTTTTAACGTTGTTACTACGAAAAGCAGAGGTGTTACTGCATATTGGCCATCGTGTTACTACGCTGTTCCAGTGAGACGAGGACTAAAAAAGAGGTAAATCTCAATCTTTAGAGAGCAATATCTCTCACATTATATCTTGTATTTCCAATCCGTTTGCACCATGAAGTTCATAAAAAAACGCTTAACGAAACAAGATCCATCATGGCTACTTTTTGACATTGTTATTTCTGCAAGACGAGAGCAGCAAAGTGGTGGGCGGGGGAGGGAGTGGTGGGCGGGTTTGACCGGCGGGAGGACGCTTTGACCGAGGTGGGAGGGGGGTTTTGGGCCCTAGGAGGGTGGGGGAGGTGGGTTTGACCCTTGGGAGGGGGGTGTACAATAGATTCACTATATATATATATATGTTAATGAATCTAGACATACTAGTCGCCAACCTGTGTGTTGCACGGGGTGTCGGGGTAATATTCAACAACACTGTATCGGTACTGACCTTTTCACAGTACTTCATAATGGTATCTGTAGTATATGTTTTTGTGTGAAAACATCCTAGCTGAATCTTACACATGCTGAATCTTGTTGACACTTTGGGGTATGCTAGCTTTGTTCAGTCAGCATTCCTGTTTATATTATTACATCATTAATTAATATTGGAGATGAGATTTCTACCATAAGATGTATGATCATTGAACGTTATATTCCTGTAACTAAATATTTTTTTATGGTAATTGGTATTTTTACAATATTTACAATTGAATAATGGATTTAACTAGAAATAAACGTGATCTATGCTGCGCGGTGCCCATAGACTAACAATGCAAGGGAAAAAAAAAGACATCGAGACTTCTGATGCATTCAAGAAGCATTTCATATATAGCAAAACTGCAATAGACAAATCGTGTAAGACAATACATTTGCAACATCAAGCTCGCTGTACTGTTAACTTTGATTTACATAACAGATATGTGATGCAACATTAGTTTTGGAATCACATATGAGTTTTCCCATGCAAATGTGTGAGTACGCCTAGGAATTTTCATTGCTAATCCAATTGGCACAGCTGCACCGAGGCCTGAGTAATCGAAGGAGCCGTAAAAGTCTTATTAGTTGTCGATGATAGAATGATGAACTATAATGTACGCTGTAATGTTTTCACCTGCAGGGCATTGGTAAGATTCCATTATTTTATATCGTGCAACAACATAAAGGATTATATGCGATAAAAGGTATTGAGACCAGAAAAAACGAAAGGTGGGCATTGGTTCATTCATTTAAACTTTTGAGAGTAAACGGCTTACATTTATCTTACAAATAACGGATGCACTATCACATATAATAGCTCACAAGTTTACTTAAAAAATTGTAAACAACTTTTCTTCTTTTTTATACTATTTTTGCAAAACTGAAAACAACTTCTTAAAATGCTATTATCAAGAATAACTGATTATCAATTTGCTGATTAATTTAGCTTTGTCTCAAGCCACACCAAATCATCTCCTATCCTAGTTTACTTATTTGAGCAAATTATAGTACTATTTTTTTCTACCAATATTCATGCTTGTAAGTTGTCAGGTAGAAACACAGGTAGAGGGAAAACAAAAATTGTCAGAAATAAAGCTTGGCAAGAATTAATGAACCTCAATTGACCTATGATGCACCAAGGAAAAATGACAAAACTCTGAAATTGTACTAATCACTAAATACAAGTGTCAGCCCTAAATCTTATCTAAATTCTGAAATAGGAAAGTCCATATTTAGAAAGGTGATAGTTTGGCAAATATGTACATTAGTACATGCCATCCATGATCCATGTTCTTACCTTGATAAATACTGTATGAAAAGTGCACAGAACATAAAGGGAGCAAATGATTGAAACCTGTAATTGCAGAAAAGTTCGTGTAGCAACCATTACCAGCACAGATTCTTGACTCTTGAGCGCATTGAGCCATTGAAAATGGGACGTGGATTTCTTATCAATCAAATCAATTTTGCAAGTTGGCAATCCCTGATAATATCATATTTTTCAGGTCACAGTACATGAATAGATTCCACTGAACCCTGCAACATTATTCAGTAGATGCACATGAAAGGATAATTAGCAACACGTCAATGAGCTGATTCAATACACTTAATAGAAAGGAATGGGTAAAGCCTGAACAGAATACTGGATTATTAGATCAAAACAACTCATTTATGTAAAGATTACCTACAACCAGAAAAATATAAGCTCAATTACATGCCTATACAAAGAATAGCACTCCAATATATTTGCTTAGCCAAGCACACAACAGACTGATAAGAAGGTATAATGCAAACTTAGTTATATGCTATGAAGGCATGGTATCATCACGCACAAGTACAGAGCATGAATGGTAAGAAACAATTGGAGCAGACATTGATTATTAGAGAGATTTTCCCGACGTCAATTTGTTGTTCGATTAGTTAATTATAGGACAAAAGGCTATTCCTAGGCATAACTGAATTCTGAAATGCAAAATACAAAGGAACAATGTGTTTTTGCGTAAAGTAAAGATACAGACTGAATCTCTTTTTTTTTCCCCAAACATTAGGATTAAGATTGGTGTGAGGCAAGAAATACGAATAGCTCATAGCTCTTCGAATTGGCCGTGAGCAAAATAAATGACCAGTGGAAAGATTCAGACTTTTTCATGCATGTGCGTGGTGCATGAATTAAGTAAAGATTTTGGTCATGCAGTCTTTCTCGCATCTAAACACAAAACACGCATATTTAATAATTCTGGACTCAATATCTGGAGTACTACATACTCCTACCTCAGAAAAAAAAACAGCTGTGATGGTAGGATGTGATAAATATTTTTCATTTTCTAATCAAATCTAATGTAAATGATAGAAATAAACGACACAGGAAAAAAGAGGGAAAATTATTCATGAATTCGACAACTGCTGAGATAGGTTCATAGTTAATTCGACAACTACGACATGGCCACCAACATGGCCATTTGGTATTGAAGCATAATTAGTGACCTTGATTCAAATTATCATATCTTTAAGATTCTATCTTCAATGAATCACACATTGTTAAATAGAGAACACAAATACATACTCTTTCATGAGATTTCGGGTCTAACAGAAATATAAGTATACCTAAACCTTTGTTAGATATTGTAGGAGAGCACCGGTAGGCTTGATGTAATTTATAGCATAATGTAGGCAAAACCGCATGAAAAAATACATAAGGGTAGATCCGGCTTTTCTTAACTAAAAAACAGAATGACAGGATCAGGTACATACCTCCAAAGTCAAAATTGTCAGCCATCCCTTCATAGTGTTAGGAATCATGAACATCAAGAAAATATTCAGTGATGAATTGGCCATTCCTGATATGTTCATAATGAGGGAAAAATCAGCGGTTGCTCTAGGCAAGAGCAAGTCCAAAAGACCCTCATTCCAATAACACACTGCAACAAATAAAAACTTAAAAAGACATTTGTATTATCGGTAATATCTAAAGATCACCAACTCAGCGCAAGTTCCATTTTTCAATGGAATGGATGAGCACATGAGTTACTTTAAATCTGCATTAGTGAGATCCTAATCAATAGTAACTATGCCCAAATCAAATATCCGTGAAATACAACAACAGTAAAATAGCAAGCAGTAGTAACAGTAGCCAGTAACCGTTAGCATAGCTAGGAGAAGAAGCATGGCTTAGGGGTTGTTTGGTTGGTTGCCACACTTTGCCACACCACACTTTAGTTATTCCCTCCGTTTCACAATGTAAGTCATTCTAGCATTTCCCATATTCATATTGATGTTAATGAATCTAGACATATATATCTATTTAGATTCATTAACATCAAAATGAATGTGGAAAATGTTAGAATGACTTATATTGTGAAACGGAGGAAGTATGCCATAATTTTTTAGATATGTGTTTGGTTCGTTACGGCAATTGTGTCATGCCACACTTTCATAGCCTTAGGACCCACATGTCATACTCTCAAATTTGAAGCTAAGCTTGCCACACTTGTGGCCAACTATTTCTAAGCCACACTTATGCCACCATGTCTCAACTAGCCTAAACTTAGTTATGGCAAGGTCAGGTTAGTGGCTCTCAAACTCACCTGAAGAGTACGGAGAAGAGATTCAACTGGAGGAAGCGAGGGCGGCGAGGCGCCATGTACAACGGCACATGTGGCACTGGGCGCTGGCCTTGCCGTAGTAGCTGCCGACCCACATCTGTCCTCGTGGCAGCCATGACTGAGCTGCCCTTCTCCTTCCTTCTCTTCCCTGACCTCGTCACTGAGCCCACTGCTCCTACCACCTCTTTCTACCGGATCTGGTGGACCTTGAGCAAGAACCAGCACATCAAGTAGCGCAAAGAGGGAGAGAAGAAGAGGACTATGGCGGCGGCTTATGTCCGTCGTCTCCGGGCAGCCGGATACATCGGCGAGTCAGCCGATTTCCCCGAGGCGGATTTGGCGCCGCACCGACCGGGGCGGAAAGCATGTCTCGCAGCGAGCGACGGACGCGGGGCCACGGCTGGGGCGTGTCTCGCTCCAGGCGATGGCGTCCCTCTCAACTTCCCTTCTCCTCCCAGGCTCCTCTTACTGGATCTGGCAACCACTGAGCCGGATATGGCAGAGCGAAGCGGAGTGGGCGAGGAAAGGGAGGCGGTGGCAGCCTGGCGGGGCCGAGATTGAAGAGAGGAAGAGGCGGCAGTGGCGGCGCGGCGACGATGGCTGTAGGTGGGCGAGGATGCGGCGGTGACGGTGTTCGCGAAGGGAGAAGGGCGAGGCGGTGCGCGTGGTTGCGCGAGGGGAGGAAGGCGAGGGCGTGCAAGGCTGCGGGCGAAACGCGAGAGGGGGCTAGGGTTTGGTGCGGGTGACCGAAATCTGCGCTGTCCGTTTCTGATCCGACGATCCCATGGGTGTGAAAGGGCCGCCACAGTGGACACGTGGACGGTCAGATCGGCCCTTCAGCGAGATCGAACGGACAATTATTGTGGGAACCAGTATGTAATTAACAAAAACGCATGGGCTGTTTTGCAAAAAATATGCTGACGTGGCGCTCTAATTCTTCAGCACTCGCACGACGTTTAGAGAGATTAATATTAAACATTCACTGTCCGATGAGAGAGACCTGTATCAGTGTTAGCACCCCTTAAGACTTCCGTCACCAACTTTTCTATCAACAGGCTGTTGAAGGGAAAAAAAAGACACTTCTCAATGAAAGTTATGCGACATTTAAACTAATGGAAGCATACCGTTTCACTATATATATATATATATATATATATATATATATATAGAGAGAGAGAGAGAGAGAGAGAGAGAGCCAGAGAGGGCATACCTTGACAATATGGAATTAAGCAGCCATTATGTTTTATTTTGCAGTTAAAACATGAAAAAAAGGATTTGAGAATAGAACTAAGTGATGTTATTCCTAATTAATATCACCCTTTTATTAAAATATACATAATGAAAAGAAAGAAAGGACAAAGTTATAATCTCACAGGAGGATATTGAAAATAACGGCTAAAAGAGGACGTATAAAATTATTGTATGTCATTGTAAACATTGTTTCTTGATGACGGTTTTCTCTGCCAATTTTCAACTGCTATGACCACTACGCTAGAACCCTACATTTGTGACGGCATACCAGTGACGGGCCTATGAATTAGTCACAGATGACTGTCACCTTTGACGGGTCGCTAGGTTTGCCGTCATTGGTGGGGCATCCGGCCGTGGCCCGTCACAGGTATCCCCTCACCTGTGATGGGCCGGAAGGAAAAGCCGTCACAGGTGAGAAAGTGACGGGTTTTCCTCCCAACCCGTCACAGGTATCCCCTCACCTGTGACTGGCCGTGGCAGATTTTTTTTACGGCCTGTCACAGGTAGGTCAATACCTTTGACGGGCAACTCAATTGAAGCCCGTCAAAGGTATGACCAACACCTTTGACGGGCTTTTTTAATCTAACCCGTTTGAGGTGTGTTGGGTCTATAAATACCCCCCAAACCGCCAACTGCTTTCCATCCTGACCAGTTCTCTGTTCACAAATCGGTTGGGAGGGCAAGGGGGGCGATTTTTTGCTAAAATTCAAGGTAAAAAACACATTATTCTCCATTCCTTCTCAATATATCAATCATCATATATTTTTCTTCGTATGTTGTTGATTTCAGATGGATCGTAGATGGATGTACTATGCGCATCATTCGTCTACCGAGTATAGAGAGGGGGTCACAGAATTTGTCACATTTGCGGATAATGACAGAAAAAGTAGGATGAGCATGCACATGTTGTGTCCATGTAGAGACTGTAAGAATGAACAGATGATCGAACATAGCGATGAAGTGCATGCTCATTTGATAATGAATGGATTCATGAAGAAATGTACCTGCTGGACCAAGCATGGAGAGCAAGAGGCGCCTAATGTCGCAGCTGAAGAAGTGTTGGATCAGGATGTAGAGAACACCGCCGCAGCTCGAGAAGGCATGTTCGTACCTTCTCCTTTAGGTGGAGAGAACATAGATTTGGACACTCAATGTCTATCTACAATATTACATGACATTGAAGACGCAGAGGACAACGACAGAGATTTTGAGAAGTTTAGTAAGTTGGTGGAAGATTGTCAGATGCCCTTGTATGATGGATGCAAGCCGAAGCACAACAAGTTGTCATGCGTGTTGGAACTCATGAAACTTAAGGCTAGTAATGGCTGGTCAGACAAGAGTTTTACAGAACTTCTTGAGCTGTTAAAGGACTTGTTGCCAGAGGGGAACAATTTACCGCAGACGACATATGAAGCGAAGCAAGTATTATGTCCGTTGGGCCTGGAGGTCAGAAGAATTCATGCATGTCCGAACGACTGCATTTTGTATTACAAGGAATACGCTGACTTGGATGTCTGCCCTGTCTGTGGGGCATCAAGATACAAACGAGCAAAGAGTAAAGGTGAAGGAAGTAAGTCAAAGAGGGGAGACCCAGCAAAGGTGGTGTGGTATCTCCCAATTGCGGAGCGCATGAAGAGAATGTTTGCGAATAAGGAACAAACTAAGCTAGTGCGCTGGCATGCCGAAGAACGGAAATTCGATAGTATGCCCAGCAGATTCAGTACAGTGGAGGACAATCGATAGGGTTTACCAGGAATTCTCAAATGACCCAAGAAACATAAGTTTCGCAATGTGTACATACGGCATTAATCCATTTGGTGATTTGAGCAGTCGTCACAATACATGGCCAGTTCTGCTTGTTAACTATAACCTTCCTCCCTGGTTGTGCTTCAAAAGAAAGTATATTATGCTTGCCATGCTCATTCAAGGACTGAGACAACCTGGCAACGATATCGATGTGTTCCTTGAACCGATAATCGATGACTTCGAAAGGCTATGGAATGAGGACACACGAACATGGGACGCATATGCACAAGAGTATTTCAACCTCCATGCGATGCTGTTTTGTACCATCAACGATTATCCGACCCTTAGCGACCTTTCTGGCCAAACTGTGAAAGGGAAATGGGCGTGTTCGGAGTGTATGGAGGAAACAAGAAGCAAATGGTTGAAGCATTCACACAAGACGGTCTACATGGGTCACATGAGATTTCTTCCAAGGTATCACCCGTATAGGAATATGAAAAAGAATTTCAATGGACATAGAGATACAGCCGGACCCCCGGCAGAGCTAACAGGGATAGAGGTGCACAACTTAGTGATGGGAATAACCAACGAGTTTGGAAAAAAGAGGAAAGTTGGAAAGACAAAAAAGAAGAGTACGTCGAAGGAAAAAATAGAGGAGCATGTGGAAAAACAAAAGAAAAAAGAGAGGAGCATGTGGAAAAAGAAGTCAATATTTTGGAGACTACTATACTGGAAGGATCTTGAAGTTCACCACTGCATAGATTTGATGCATGTCGAAAAGAATGTATGCGAGAGTTTAATGGGATTACTGCTTAACCCAGGTACTACAAAGGATGGTCTCAACACCTGACGAGATCTGGAAGAAATGGGTGTTCGCTCGGAACTACATCCATAACCACGGAATCCGGCAGGGTTTACCTTCCTCCAGCCTGCTACACTCTCTCGAAAGAAGAAAAGATTGATTTGCTAACATGTTTGAGTGGTATAAAGGTTCCATCTGGTTACTCATCAAGAATCAGTAGGCTCGTTTGACTGCAAGATCTTAAGTTGGTAGGAATGAAGTCGCATGATTGCCATGTTCTTATCACACAGTTGTTGCCCATTGCAATAAGGAATATTTTGCCTCCTAAGGTGCGACACACGATCCAGCGGTTGTGTTTCTTCTTCCATGCAATCGGCCAGAAGATCATTGATCCCGAGGGACTAGATGAACTACAGGCAGAACTTGTGAGAACACTATGTCATCTTGAGATGTACTTTCGTCCAACTTTCTTTGACATAATGGAACATCTTCCCTTGCACCTTGTGAGGCAAACAAAGTTCTGTGGTCCAGCATTCATGACGCAGATGTATTCTTGCGAAAGGTACCTAGGGATCCTTAAGGGTTATGTACGGAACCGTTCACACCCCGAGGGGAGTATCATCGAGAGTTACACCACCGAAGAGGTCATCGATTTTTGTGTGGACTAGATGTTAGAAACATCTTCAATTGGATTACCACGATCTCATCACGAAGGGAGGCTTGATGGTGTTGGTATTGTTGGAAGAAAGACTGTTAGGTTGGATCGGAAAGGTGTACGATAAAGCTCATTTCACGGTACTGCAGCATATGACTGAGGTGGTGCCGTACGTTGACGAACACCTTGCAGTTCTCCGACAGGAGAACCCAGACCGATTAGAGAGTTGGGTCAGAAATAAGCACATATCTTCTTTCAACGAGTGGCTGAAGAACCGAATTGCTAGGTTGCAGAACTTGTCTAGTAAAACACTTCAGTGGTTGTCACAGGGTCCTGAATGGAGTGTCACCACCTGGCAAGGATATGACATAAATGGATACACCTTTCACACGGTAAAGCAAGACAGCAAATGCACAGTGCAGAACAGTGGGTTACGCATTGAGGTTGCTAGTGACGGTGGTCGTCGTGATCAATACTATGGTAGAGTTGAGCAAATATTGGAGCTAGATTACTTGAAGTTCAAAGTCTCGTTGTTTCATTGTCGATAGGTCGATCTTCGCAATGTAAAAGTTGACAATGAAGGTTTCACCACTGTCAACTTGGCTAACAACGCGTACAAGGATGAACCGTTCATTCTCGCCAAACAAGTTGTTCAAGTGTTCTACATAGTTGACCCGTGTAACAAGAAACTACATGTTGTTCGTGAAGGGAAAAGGAGAATTATTGGATTGGACAATATTGCAGACGAGGATGATTACAACCAGCACGTCCACGGCATAGGTCAAGAAATACCTCTAGAAGAGGAGGAAGAAGAAGATGACGTTCAATATGCACGCGTCGACCATAAGGAAGGATTATTTTTGTAATTTATGTACGTAATTTATGTCTACATGTTTGTTATCTGTATGACTCTAATATCTTCGCAATGATCAATAGTATATTGCTTATGAAATAGTCAAATAAAATAATTAAGTGAAGCACCAACTAGAAGTAAAAAACAATAATTAAGCAAGTATAACCATTGGAAATAAAATAATAAAATTAGTAAAATAATGAAGTGCAATTACTACTGTTAGTGAAATAAAATAATTAAGTATAACAAAAATATGTAGTGCATGTGGAAATATGTTGAGGAAAATAAAAGAACTAAGTGAAATAAAATAAAATAAAATTGCTTTAGGCAAACTCACCTGTGACGGGCCGTCATAGGTGAACCTGTGACGGCCCAGACTGTTGGGCCCGTCACAGGTGAGGTCACCTGTGACGTCT